AAGAGGTCTTGTTACCGAATGTAGTTTATCGTCATACCCAGGAATAACCTCCGTAAAGAAGTCTGTTCTTTTCTAAATTGCGTGATATTCATAAAATCGAAGTTAGAGCCTGTTTTGTTTCCGTGTATTATGAGCGAGTTTAATGGGCTGTCCCAACGCAGGTTTCTCTTATATTCATACAGGCTTTAAGTTTCCTAGATGTTTCGCCAATATAGCCTTTTATACATTGTAGTTGATGATGACAGGTTAGTTATCTCAAACATTAGGGTCATTACCACCACCTACATGACAATCGGAGATAAAGTTAGGAAGGGAAATAGATCCAACACTACATCAGATGACAGGATTTACGACATGACGTACAAAGTTCTGTTAGCAAATTTTAGCTTAGCATTAATTAATATTAATTTATTTTATAATATTCTTTTCTTGTAACGCGCGTTTTCTTTTCTTTTTTTTTCAGTGCACAACACGCTCAAAATAAAGAGGCCTATAATGTTTAGGCACATGTTTTGCCACACGTTTAGCAGAGTGCATTCTAATTTATACACGGATTACCCATGCAATCAGTCGCGTGGATCTTTTCACCTACCCTAATCAGGTTCACCCACATCAAAGAACCGATGGGAATTAACCAGCTTAAATACGATGAACTGTGTGTTCACAGTAAGAGGTTGAGATTTCATGTGCGGACAGGAAAGTAGATTTACGCAATTAAACATGAATTAATTTCATTAAGTCATTTTCAGCATCACTTATGATTATTTTTTCCATCGTGCGATGATACGAAATCAACAGAATCGCAAGTTTGAAAAATAAATTCAATAATTAAGGGATGTATGAAAAATGAATTCAATTTTGAAAGTTAGAAGCGTAGTTAATCGATTTGCAAAACGTTACAAAGGCAGACTATAGAGATCTATGGCTGCAGTTCTGTTCATATCTATCTATCTATCTATCTATCTATCTATCTATCTATCCGAGTCTGTTCATTATCTATCTATCTATCTATCTATCTATCTATCTATCTATCTATCTATATATCTATCCGAGTTTGTTCACTATCTATCTATCTATCTATCTATCCGAGTCTGTTCATTATCTATCTATCTATCTATCTATCTATCTATCTCAATCTTTTTGCATCTCTCTCTCTCTCTCTCTCTCTCTCTCTCTATATATATATATATATATATATATATATATATATATATATATATATATATATATATATATCTGTCACTGTCCTTCTAAATCAATCTGTCCATAGCTATATATGTAAATATGTCAGTCCGTTTAAATCCATCTATCATTCTTACTTGATAATTTCCCTAATCCATAGCTTAAGTGATACTAGATAGATAGATAGATAGATAGATAATGAGTAGACATAGATAGATAGATAGATAGATAGATAGATAGATAGATAGATAATGAACAATCTATCTTTTTATCTATCTATTTCTATCTAAATCAATCTGTTCATAGCTATATATGTATATATGTCATTCCGTTTATATCAATCTATCATTTTTACTTGATGATTTAACTAATTCAAGGCCTAAGAGCTATTCAAGGTAGAGGATTACTGAATGAGATTGCTGTGCGGACGTTAAGTGCAATGAGGAGTACATGTAGAATAGATAACGGTTAACCCGAGATTTGAAGATGTTAAGATTGTAGTCATCGAGAAAGTTTTCGTTTAGTTGTTAATCTATCTATCTATCTATCTATCTATCTATCTATCTATCTATCTATCTATGTCTATTCGTATCTATCTATCTATCTATCTATCTATCTATCTATCTATCTATCCTGAACTGTTCATAATAATCTATCTATCCTGAACTGTTCATAATAATCTATCTATCTATCTATCTATCTATCTATCTATCTATGTATCTATCTATGTCTACTCATTATCTATCTATCTACCTTGGTCTGTTCTTATATATCTACCTGTCTATCAATCTTGAAGTTAACCCGACCAATTACCGAGGGTTTGCTGGCCTTGTTCCAATTATTGATCACACTAGATAACTGTAATTAAGGTCTGCTCAAAACAGTTGCAGTGAAAACCATAGGTGGGCTCTGTGGGTGTTGAATAAACAAAAATGTGCCTGAGCAAGCATCTGCAATAGGGATTGGCTATCCGCCCTAATTGAAAGATATCCTAAAATAACAGTGGCCAGAGCTATACGATACGATTCGTCTACACAATAAATATTGTGGTCACATCTGAATTGGTGCTTCTCATGTTTATTTTAGAGGTGCTTGCTAAAATCCAAAGACGAATCTGCAATGTCATCGGTCCTGAAAATATTTTAGATTGTAATAATTTTTTAATGATTTAGTGTACAAGTTTTACCATTTAACCCACAGCTGGAGGAGAAGTGAAGGATACATATCTATCCAAATGTTCTGTGTGTGTAATAAATATAAAGAACCAAACTAGAATTGGAACTGGAGCCATTATCAATTACACCACCCTAACACCCAGGCTTACAGCACCTGTTACTCCCAAGTAGTCGCCAATCTGGGTACTAACCAGGCTCGACGTGGCCTAACTTCGTTGATCATACGGGAACCGGTATTTCAACGTGATATACCGCGTTTCGTCCTTTGATGAACTTTATCAAGGAAAATGTAGGGATTAGGGATATGATCAAGACCAAAAGTATCCATAACAATAGTAATTATGAAGCGGGTGTATATAAAATAAACTGTCACAACTGCTCCTCAGAATATATTGATGAAACTTGCAGAAATGAAAAAAAAATATCTATGAATACAAAAGGGATCTTATACACAAGAATTTATCAAATGCATAGAAATAAATTAAACCACTACTTTAATCAAACAATGCCCCAAGTGTACAGTGCTGTTCGATAAAAGTGACTCACCTTATCCTTTGAATTTAGCTCAAATTTCATTTCATCGGTGAAGAGAACATTCTTCCAGTCTTCTACGATGAAATTTTTGTAATAGTGAGCTCATTCAAAGTCTCTTAGCATTGTTGGCTTTGCTTATTAGCGGCTTAAACCTTCGTGTACAAGATTTATAGCCTCGTTCTGACGGACTGTTGAAGAGGCAAGACTAACATCTTGCTCTTGGCTTAGACTGGCTGCAATTTCTTGGCTAGTTATTGTCCTATTCTTTGCAACTTCTCTCTTGATTACCCTGCCAGTTCTATCATCAATCTTTTTCTTTCGTCCCCTTGTTTCCTTCCTTGGAGCAGGAGTGGCATCATTATGCGCCCTAAGCACTCGAGAGACAGTTGATTGCGAGGTTATAGCAATTTCTGCAATTTCTCTCATAGACTTGCCTGCTTTTGAGAGGGCAATAATAGATGCCATAAGTGGTTCTGATGCGTGTTTTTACCCTTTCATCTGGTTAGTGACTTGAGTGGCTATTTCAAGCTGTTTTTCTACTGTATGAGGCTTTCTGGAATATTCTGGAATACTCTAGATTTAATTTAAGATGTTCTAGAATTCTCTAGTATATTGTTCTGGGTGTATTGTAAAATAGTTTTCAATATTTTGTCAAAAGTTCTTTAAATTTACCAATTTAATCATTAGAAGGCGATATCTGAGTCACTTTTTTTTCCCTGAATATTATTTATATCCAAATTTATAATTATCGATAGAATACCTTAGGGCGAATAAAGTTTTTTCCTAGGTGATTGGGAAGGGGTCTTTATATTAGTAAGATTAAAAATTGTTTTAACCCCAAAAACAATAGACAGAACATATTTTTAGTAAAAAAATCAGGTGAGTCAATTTTATCGAACAGCACTGTAAAACAAAGTAACTTAAAAAATTTTCAAGAGTGCAAACTATCAGAATATATCTCTGTTCTCTGGAATTTTTTAGATATCGCCATTCCTGAAATAACGAACCATTTTCCAAGTCATGACTATAAAAATATCAAAAAATTAAGGAAACATTTAAATTCATAGATTATTTTGTTATATAGGAATAAATTATCGCCTCCGATACTTGGGTATGAAAACAGTTAGCAAACACAGGGGATCCTGTTGCAGTTTTTCTTGTGTATATATAGACTAGAGAGCCAACCCAAATGACTTGACTCACTTTATAGTCCACCAATAGAAGGTTAACCAATCAGAAGCCGCAGATTATTCAATCCGTCGTGTATAAAGGCGGCTATTTTGTTTACTCAACCCGAATGTCCAGTTCCAGCTTGTCAGGCGAAGAGAAACAGAAGGAAGTACTACGCTCTGCTACTTTTACCGGGATATCCACTGCTAACCTGAACAACGCTTTCCTGCTGTCTTCGAAATATTCACTGCTAACTTCTGGATTCTATACTCAAAGACGACCGTCATCATGAACAACAGATCCCATTATTGAATTAGGTATATCACGTGACCATAGAGGAAACGCATGAATAGAAAGTAGCTTGATGTCTAATTGATCACTATTTCTAGTCTATCCTCTAATATTATACGGATCGCTATTCTCTATACAATTCGCTATATTTCTCTATTCGGATCACTATAGAGATTACAATTCGCTGGTTACTATTCGAGCGAGTACAATCGAGCAAGTACTATTAGTGCGAGTGTTATCCGAAGGCGTCTGACACCAGTATTGTTCAACGCGTTACTATAGCTGTATCTGCGATTACAAAGTCTTTACTACAACGGGCATTACGAAAGTGACAACGGGTTTTCGTTGACATCACAAAATATTTATTAAAAATATATATAAAATTTTATCCCAGACTAAAATGAATCTAAATACTAATTACATTTGAAAAAAAAATCAAGATCATTTAATCACTCTCGTTTATTAGACATTAAATTATGTCACTTAGCATCTTCCATAATTTAACTAGACTTTTCAGTTAACGTGATGAATATTTATGAGCGTTTCTGAAATCTGAAAATTTCGGAAAAAAACTATTAACAAAGATCCAAATTACCTTCTCTTTTTGCATGCCAGTCTGTGAAACCAAGCATCATTAGCAAACAATGCGAAAAAGACACTTAGACTTCTCAATTATCATATGAATTATAACGAAATGAATCTAAAAATATTTTCTTGCATAGAATGACCTGCAAAATATTGGAAAACGTATAAATCAATAAAAAAATCCCAAGAGCCACCCAAGGTAGAGTTTTGATGAGTGAGATTGTTGTAAGGAAGTGGGAAGAAGTGAGTATAGATATTTGTTGACCCTGAAATGAAAGATCCCAAAATTGTATTTTTCAAGGAAGCATTCTCTTGGAAGTATATTCCACAAATTAACAATACTGTCCTCCTATATGGCAGAGAGTGCTGGACAAGCCTTTCAAAGATGTAGGAGTGTCTTGAAGTAACAGAAATGTGGTTCTACAGAAGGATGCTGAGTATACCATGGACCGAAAATGAGAGCAACGACAATGTTTTAGAGAAAATGGAAAACAAAAAGGAAACATATTTAACATCAGGAAGAGGCATTTGAAATTTCTAGGGCATATTATATAGGATTATAAAAAAAGGATTAATAAATAGGATAATAAAAATCATTTTATAGGATTATGAAAAATAGGAGAATGTCTGATATTGCCATTACGAATGTAGATTAAAATCACCTTTAAATCTACCTTCTTTTTTTTAAAAATGGTTTTAATGTTATGTAGTGGTTTCACAGTGGAGGCTTGTATTTATACTAAGTCGGTCCTAAAATAGGTTCGACGTACAAAACGTTAGGAACTTGATATAATAGGTAATGACGCAGAGAAATCTAGTTGTGGTCGCTGATGCTTTAGTATCCGACTAACGGTCGTCCGGCATCGACGGACTGATCGACCGACGATATTCAGTCAACAACGAGGGCGTCATGTGGCACAAGGACTTTTTAACGTGGGATCTCCGAGCCCGTGGACTCGGCCAAAAATATGCCCATTGAACCCGTATAAACAGGTTCAGGGTCGGTTTACCTTCCCGAAAGAGACTCCGCCCTTCGGCGTAGCCTCGTTCGGGTTCCTCCCCGCCCGAAGGAAGAGAGTTCAACCGGTCAGCCGGTCGCCCGACTTCGGACTGAACGGTATTTAGTCACCCCCGCCACGAGGGCATCATGTGGCACAAGACCGGTTTAACGTGGAATCCCCGAGCCCGCGGGATCTCCGATCTGCCATTTGAACCCGTATAAACGGGTTCACGGTCGGTTTACCTCCCCGAAAGAGAATCCGCCCTTCGGCGTAGCCTCGTTCGGGTTCCTCCCCGCCTGAAGGCAGAGAGTTCAACCGATAAGCCAGTCGACTGACCGACCGACCGACTCGTAACTCTTTCTTCTTCTACTTATTATAGGCGGGAGAGTCTATTAACTATAGAATAGGGGTGTTCTACTATAACATTTAATTCCTAATATTTTTGCTGTTAACATTCAAACATTGTGGTGCAGTTACTGCCAATTCAAAAAGCACAATTTACAAGTCAAGTTCATATTCTTATAATTACTAATAATATCCCTTTTATACTGATACCCTTGCAAAAACAGATGATTTCAGCATTTTTTTATTTTGCTTTTATAGTAAATTAATCTTCCCTTTGCTCCATCCCCTCTCTGTCTTTAAATTCCACTTCTGATTCTTCATTAATATAGAAAGTTTCTAATTTCTAATCCACTGTTTTGTTTACTCTGCCAAATTCCTGAAATGCTAAGTGTATTGCTTACTCCTATTAATTGTGGCATACAACATTATTGTAACCTGCCTGTTTTGTGGTTTGGAGAAATGGGTAATTACTTGCACCAAGTGTCAGTAATTGTTCCTTCCCAGAATGCAGTTAAAATCAGTTCTCTTGCTTAGTTAGCAGCATCAAAATGATAATCTTTCTTTATTTTTTTTATACTGTTAATTCACCCATAGTTCACCCAATACAAGGCCCAAGTGCCACTCAAAGTAGAGGGTTACTGAATGAGATTGTAAGAGAGGGGAAAGTAAGTGACTATTATCAGGATGAGTAGGATAGATATCGGTTAACCCTGGACTTAAAGAGATCCCAAATTGTAGTTATCAGGGAAGCATTCTCTTGGGAGTCTGTTCCACAAAGTAACACTTTTGAGGAAGAGAGCTGTCTGAGTGGAACTTGCTTTTTCTCAAACAAACATGGAGATGGTTTGCCACTATGAACACAGCATTGATGGTCCAAGTTGATGGCATTAAGTAATAATAGTAATGGCGATAATAATAGTGAAAGGCCAGTGATAGTTCATCTGTAGGATATGGGTTGCAGGGTAGAGAATAATTTATCACCCACAAGAGCACATAAGCACTTTTGAACTCTGTTAAGTTAGCAGCGTTAAAATGATAATCTTTCTTTATTTTTTTATACTGATAATTCACCCATAGTTCACCCAACACAAGGCCCAAGTGCCACTCAAGGTAGAGATATACTGAATAAGATTGTAAGAGAGACTATTATGAGAATGAGTAGGATAGATATCGGTTAACCCTGGACTTAAAATTGTAGTAGTCAGGGAAGCATCCTCTCGGGAGTTTGTGCCACAAATTAACAATACTCTCCACTTGTATGGCAGTGAGTGCTGGATAAGCTCTTCAAATATGAAGGAGTGTCTTGAAGCAACAGAAAT